TGGTCCTTTAATATAAAATATCATGGGTAATGCTGGGCAAGTCGAAAAGTGAGGGAAGCAGCACTCCGAGTAAGTTATTAATAGCTTAAAGAAACATTTGGTGCAATAGTCCACACACAGGTCGGGTTCGGGTGGTTGATTAACACATATTTTTACTGGTTGGGCTGTGCATATAAGTTCATTTTTGTACTAAAAAATACATTTATCAAGCTAAACAAGTAATGTGCTTTTGAAAAAACAAAACTCCAACAAAAGAACATATTTAGTACAAAGTGCTGCTGGTGCCACAGAGGCTCTAGTGCTGTGCTTGGAGCTGAGTTTATGATGTGTGTGTGCAGCGGAGACTGGACACAGTGTTAATGCTGTGATCTACTGAGCTTTTTCAGCCTCTGGCCGGAGAGCACAGATTAATAACACAGCCAGAGACATCCCCAGCGGTGCGTCTTAAATCACCTCGATCCACTGTGGAGGGTTAGGATTGTAAAACACACTCTGCTATGCTCTCGTGCTCCACTCTCCTCACCGTCTTTATTAGATTTCTTCTTCTGCTCCCACTCTGTGCAACAAGCTTTTGGGATTTTATCTAAGTCGATCTTCCTCCTTCTTGTCTCAGTATCCGTTTCGACCTCGGTTTTCTCTCCGGATTGCCAGAGTCTAAGCTCTCTCTCTTTATTTAGTCCCCGAGGCCAGCTGTGGCTCCTGAGGGGGCTGATCTGGCTCCGAGCAGCCCTCGCTGGGACTCAACTCTCCCACAAAAACCCTTAATCGTCGGGCCGCACCCCAGAGAGGAGCTGGATGAATGAGATGAGAAAGAAAAGATTGTGCGCAGCGTAAAAAGGGGTAGAATGCGGACAAGCTGAAAAGTAGCTTTGAAAGAATGAGTGTGTGAAGGGGAGGGGAGGGGGGATAAAAAGTGGGAGAGAAATGCAGAAAATGGGCCCATAAATGCAGCTCATTAGCTTTTGAGCAGAAAATCTCATTTTCAGCCTCTGAATGGAACAAAGAAAGGAGAGTAAAGAAAGAAACCTGGCAGATGAGCAAACGTTTACCATGAGAAAAACACAAATACTGTAGGGATTGTACAGGCTCCATCCAAATCAGGTGGTTTACTTTTTGCTCATAACTCATCATAGTCCAACTTTTCTTTTGACCAAGAATTATTCAATTGGCAGTACTCTATACTGACACTTTCGTCCAGTAAGTAGCATGTGTAGGTTTATTTTAATTTGTATCCATTAATTCCCATATCATTTGAAGACTAGGAATGAGGCTGTACTTACCCACTGCTTTGAGCTAAATGCTAACATCAGTATGCTAACACGCTGATGTTAAGGTATAATATATACCAGCCTGTTTTCACTCCCAAGTCTTCAAATACAGTGGCACTACTTTTAACCCATAACACTCTACGTGGCTGTTTTCGCGGGAGTAATGGAGGAAGTCAGGTGACTTAAAGAGCAAGTCCATGTAGGGAGGAACAGGTTGAGGTGGTAGGATGGGTCAAAACAGACGGGACTTTCACCCAAGAGATCAGTGCCTGTCGACTATTTTAAGATACAAAACGTTATGCAACGTCACATATCTTAAAAATGTACTTAAACGTCTTAAACGTACTTAACCTACTAAGCGTACTTAACATTTTACATAAACTTAATTCACGTACGTAGCATAGCAAAGTGATAACAATTTATGGTGAGGGGAACATGACTGTAATACGAAAGCACTCGGATTATGATTCCAGTTAAGAAAACAAGCTGGCCAGTTTAGACAAGTAGATACAATGGAGTTTGAACAATCCCAGAGTAAGGGCTTCTATCTAGAGCACCCACTGAACAAACAGTCCACAATCATGCAGTAAGAGATCCATCAGAGAAGAGGCAGAGATCCATTTCTACACCTACTGTAGAACAAAAGTAGACCAGAACACAGTGCAGTCATCAGGTGTGGGTTTTGGGTAAATAACTTTTTTTTCTCCTCTCGACTGAGAAAACATGCTTTTTTTTTGTCGTTGCAATGCCATCTCTATCACTCCCCCCACCTACGAATCTCCCTCCACAGCTGAAGGAATCCGATTTTTTGGGGGACTAGAAGTTTATAAGTGTGTAGCTTCAAGGCTAAACGTCTTGTTGAGACTGAGTGGTGTGCACACTGCAGCGTTGTCCACAAATAGATGCTGACACACCCATATTTAATCTTGTTTGGAAATAAACTGGATTCGTCCTAACACTCATCTGAAAATGTTATATATAAAACTCTGTTGAGGGACAACATCCGAATTTAAATGCCACTGAAATGTTATTATAGTCAGCTCTTGCATTATAGTGGTAAACAGCTTGCGTTGAGGGTTTCATATCCGTGTGGCTTGTTCTGTTTGCCGTGTGGAAAGTATGTGCACATCCCTACATCTGGCCTCCGGCCTGTACTCCGTAGGTTGATGAAAGGCATTCTGGGAAGTGTAGGAAACCACTAACTAAGGCAGAAACCTGTTAAAGGAATCTGGGTACCTAAAAAACAAAGCAGTTTTGTGACAGAAATAACTCCTGGGATTCAGTGAACATCAGAGACAATAGAGCCACCAGACAATGTACACCAGTGAAAGGTGGTGGCTTTTTCCCTTAACTGTGTAGCCCAGCAGAGGCTTTTAAATACAGACAAAGGAAGCATTTCTTATCAGGCGTGGCAGGTTTGAAAGCAAAAGGAAGCTCTGCATGTGATTTTCATCACAGGCTGATGAGCCACAGTTGTTCACCAGATAGGTTCTATTTTAGCTCCGTCAGTGGGAGGGACCTAACGCCGTCTCCACACAGGAGGTGTCTCAGCCAGGTTTGTCATCTGTCTCTAAAGGCCCTCACATGTGCCAGCATCTTGTAATGGAGAGAACCTCGGGAGCAGCCATAGCATCTTGACGCTGAAGGTCCACGCGTGATTGACATTGTAACAGCTCGTTAACATTGTGAACGGTCGCGGTTAACGTAACACATGGTTGCTATGCAACTCTTGGTTTGAGGAACTTGCAAATCACATCTTCTTCCTCACGTTTTCACATAAATGTGAAATTGACATTTCAATTAAAGATTCAAAAGCAGATTGAGTTTTAATATTTTTTTTCTTGAAGAAGTGGAGATCAGCAAAGATGACCTCGCTTGGCAAAAACACTTCTGTGAAAGTCTCTTAAAGTCTAAAACTGAAACTGCTCCTTACAAGGATAAACGAACCTAGTGAGAACGCACAGACACACACACACACGCTTACCTTCCTAGTGCTGACCTCTCTCAGGAGCACATCAGGCAGGTGAAGTCTTCTACACAAACACAGGAATGAGATAGATTTTAAAATAAAATCAATGAAAGAAGTGTGACAGTGAGACTCTTTATAGCGGCCTTCGGGTGACGTATGGAGAAAGGAGCGCTGCAGCGTGAGAGAATAACAATATACATCAGTGCCTGTCAGCCATCCCTTCACCTGAACGGATAACATTGGAGCGACATTGGCTTCTGACAGGGAGAAATACTGTCGGCTGCACAGCCTTGTACCGCCGACACACACACACACACAGACTTATGCTCTGTCAGAATACCATCAGTTATTTTACACCCAGCTTTTTCTGCTGAGTCTGGCTTTCCTCTCTCTCTCTCTCTCTCTCTCTCTCTCTCTCTCTCTCTCTCTCTC